GAATAATAACAATCTGTATTGTCTCGACACTCGTCTAACGTGACACCGATCGAGGGGCGGGAAAGCGAACTACGGCAGCAACGGGGCTTCCACTATGCCCTAAGCGCCGAGAAGATGGGAGTGAGAGGGTCCCTACTGCCACCCATGGGGGCGCTGAGTATTCCTAAAGGAAAAACTCAGTAACCTTTTTTATCGTGAAACATGCCTTTAAACTGCTAAATGAGTCCCCCAAAAAGATGCGAGCGTTCGAAGTTTGCTCGCTGAAGGCTAATAGAGATAGTGCCATTGAAATGCGCATTCGCCTACAAGGGCATAAAGCTGGCGCGGTGGTAATGCTCTACTTCTTGCGATTTATTTGGGATTGTTCCTCGACGTTAAGCCACTTTTCGCAGTTCGTGCTTTCTTCCCAGTGGGACCCCTGATAGTTTTTGATATGTACGTTGAAAACATTTATAACAATTTTTAATGCTTATTCCTTATTTCGGCTTTCGTTGATGATCTTGTTCTCACTTCTGCACGCGAATTCTATGAGTTTTCAATGCGCCTGATTTCACCTCGATACTTAGATAGGAACATACCTGGATCTGTAATACGAGTTTTTCGGAAATTTTTAGACACGAGGGCAAAGCATTGGGGAAACTTGTGATAAACCAAATATATTGCCTAGCAGTGACATCTGCATTATTTACTAATGCGTAATTCTTGATACGCTTCATAGCTTTATCATAGATGCGAAGAAAAAACGTTCAGAGCTTTTGAAGGAGCATCACAACTCTCGAGAAGTCAATTCTTTATGTAGTCGATCATGAGCTGCTTGATCACTATATTGCGGTGTTCCCCTTTCGACAACCAGATTTCGAGCAAACCCACATCGTCTGCCTGAAAGGAAGAGCCCTATCAGTGCGCCTCGGCGACCTTGGTGCCGTTACCGGTAACTGCGCATTTCAGCTGTCACCATCTCTCCAAACACTAAGCAAGCAAATCCTTAGCTCTCTCGTCTTTTTTAGGAGGCTCAATTGGCAATTTTAGTTTCCATATTTGTGAATAGCGTTTTGATTTTATCTATATACCGAAATCTCTATCCGAAATTCCTCGAGAATTTGAAAGCCTGCCCTTGTTAGCCCCTCCTCAACGCTGCGGATACAAGTTTTATTAGGTTGACGTTTTTGCAGGGTCACCTTCTTCAGAGCCTAGAAAGATCATAACAATTTATGGCTATCCGANCAAACGTCTCCACTGCCACACTGAAGTTCGAGACCCCCAGGGCACGCAGGTGATTAAAGGGGACCACTCACTGTAGTTTCGTGGATTCTTCGAAACAACAAGCAATTGATGATAACAATCGACCAGTCTCAGCTTGTGTAAGTCTTCATTCAATGTCACTGCGGGAAGCCAACTTTATATAAGGCCGCAGCTACCGCGTGATCGCGAGGCATTCTTCCCTACATTCATTTTTGGATTGATGATTTATATCCAAAATGCAGAGGGTTTTACGCGCGCATAATTGCGATTCCTGTGCCACGACCTTCACGGTTCTTCAAAATCGCCTCCGTTGTGCTTTTGAAATCGGTAGTTTCCTAAGGCAGTGGGCTCTTTCAACCGTTTTATACCATCTATGTGCTCCTTAACGCTCACGTAGAGTGGTCTTGCCATTTCGCCAATATACTCATCACCGAAATCACGGCAAGTAATCTTGTAGACTACCCCAGACATGGTACAATCACCCTCCTTACATGGTACAATCACCCTCCTTGCCAGCTCGGCTGGCCACACTGTTTGAGGTTGTGCATAGGCGATCGTATAGCCTGTTCCGAACCAGGCGCTTCTTTAGATTTAGTGACAGATACTTCGCTTGACTTCAGGAAGGCTAGGAAAAAGGAAACAGCACATGAGTTTTGAACAGTTCCTCATGATTCGTTTTATAACGCACAACTAGAACAGGAATTGTTATTCGGAAGCTGCTTTCCATTTTCGTTCACGATTTCCATTTTTGCAAAATCTTTGTGCAGCTGTTGGATTCTCTCCTTACCGCCTTTCAATCGTGCATAAAAATATGGGGGCGCCATTGCCTCTTATGGCCGGTTTAACGGACATCACGCCTCCAGTTCCCCACATCCCCTCCCCTCTGGGTTTATTCCTCATTTAGTTTGTTGCGAGCCATTGTAACTGTTTCTTACTTATGTTGTTAACCTCACACATTGAACCCACCTTGCTTCTTCAGGAAGCTCTTAGAATAATTCCAAATTTCGTGGCAGACACGGAGAGCTCTTCGTACAGACTCCATAAGTGCTATTCATTCTTACCAAGACCTTTAGGGAAATCGTTGGCCTTTTTCTTCTCTTGGAACATCTGGTGAAGAATGTTATACCTTTGCTTGAGAAAATTTATATTGAATTCGTATTTAGTGTGTTCCCAGTTCAGTTCTTTTTTTTCCTGTGTACATCGAAAGTCATAGCCACGTAGCACATCAGTTTAGATGGAATTAATAAATTATTTTCTCCATGCACTAATCTATAAAATTTATTCTAGATTTTGGGAAAGATCTGCTTTGAATTTGAAAACCAAGCAGACCAGCCACCGCCCACCGCACAGAATGGAAATGAATCAGTGAGTATCAGTGGATGCTCTCAAATCAAATTTCAGTGTTTTCTCATTATATTTTTCAAGGGTCTTCCCGATATGTCAAACTTCGAAACGCTTGGGAAGCTTCTTGTCGAATTACAAGCCTACGGCTACCCTCCTAAGGAATTGACAGGAGAACTTCCCGCTGGTTAGTAGGTAGTTAGATTATGCTACATATCTGCACAGCTGCGCTCCACTTTTTAGGCTGGACTGTTGACGATCAAACCGGCTTGCCAAAAGTCGAAGACATATCAGCTGCCGCGAATGCCTGTACACTGATGTAATTAAGAAGTGATCTGTTGTGATAGAAAACATATTCGTAGTAGAATATTTGGATAGCAAATGTGTAGTCCTACCTTGTGTATCTTCTGCTCATTGTTTTTTCTAGTCTAGCAGTGAGGTGTACTGTTAAATGTGCTTGATACCCTCTCATATGGCATTGGAAAGGGACAGTTGTGCAAAATTGTGAGAGCTTAAATCATTCTAATCTAAGGAGAAGTCTAGTAGGATCTGTAGGAGTGCCTTCAGCTTCATTCACGTCGTGATTGATATAAATTTATTAAATTACAAGCCTTCTGCTGAAATAATGTAATTTTTACAGAATACTTACGGTGGGAATCACTCAAGTCTCCTTTATTGCATTCTTTTCACATTTAGCTTTGCACGATGACCGTTACATACTTATCAAGTGTAGATCGTGCCTATAAACGATACGCTTGCAACGATTATGACAATATAGTCTACCTTCATCATCCCAGTGGCGTCAGCGTTGTTGTATTGAAGAAGGTAAGTAATCAAGTGGTATTTACTCTTTAACTTGTGAAAAAAGATTTTATTAGCAAAAGTTTCGCTTTCGCTTCGAGCAAACAAGGATACCCTTACGGAAGTTGTCGGAATCGGTTCAGTCTCAGTTCAGGTTCAGCTTAATGTGACCGGCACCGTGCGGTGTTACGCTCAAAATCTATGACTGGTCATTTTTTGGTGAATATTCATGCATGTTATTAGGTTGAGTCATAAGTCCTCGGACAAAATGATAGTGATGACTTCTAGAAATCATAACTCGGGAAATAGGTGACGGAAATGGACGAGCGTGGCATTGTTAGATAGAGTACTAGAAGCTCTTCCAAATGAATACTATCAAACACACCTGACTATTCTATTTACTGCAACCATGACCCATGATTTCAAGCCGTCGCAACTCCACCTCCGCAACAACATCCTATTTCTTTTTTCATCTGGCCAAGAACTCGCGGAGGTCGATAGACGTATTCAGGAAATTTACAAGAAGGGTGCTCCTGCTAGATGCACAATTCACAAGTGGCGCACGAAGTTCACGTCGGACGACAATTCCATCGAAAATGAAGACCGTCCGGGACGCTCAATGGAGTTGGATTTGGAGGTGCTGCAGAGCCAGGTGGAAGCCGATCGGTATCAACCTACTCGTGAACTGGCAGCCACCCTTGGGGAGACAGTCCACAATTATTCGTGGACTGAAGTCAATCGGTAAGGTGCAAAAGTTCGGTCGATGGGTGCCTCATGCTTTGAAGCAGTATGACATGGACTGCCGCGCTGACATGGCACTTTCTCTCCTCACGCTCAACACAGCAGATGGTCAGGTGTACTCGTCAGTATGTATTTGGAAGAGTTTTTTATACTCTATCTAATGATGCCTCGCGCGCACATTTTCGTCACATCCTTCCCGAGTTATAATCTCTAGAAGTCATCACTATCACTTTGTCCGAGGACTTATGACTCAACCTAATACAATATCATCAAATAGCTTTGAGACACTCGAATTCACGTTTTCAAGTCTTTGCAATTTTGTTTGACTCTCATTCATCAAGCTATATAATCGCCATCGTTAGCTAGCACATTTCTTCAAGAAGCCGACAAGTCGGCTATTCCCTCCACCCAAAAGCGTCTGTGGGACAACGTTTTTTCACGGAATTTTCGGATTCAATAAAGAGGTCACTTCATGGTCAGGAATGGCTTGAGGTGCCTAAAGAAGAGATAGTCGGGAAGGTCAGGGTCAGGAATATTCGGATGGAAAGGGGACCGCGTTCTGGCCAAGTTCTGTTACTGGATTTGTGACTGTGACTAAGTTATGCTTGAGACGTGAGGCCGACCATTATCATGCAGAAGATGGGCAGAAATCCTCACTGTCGCTTCATTTAACTCCAAGGGGGGGGGGGGGGGNNNGAGCGGCTCGCTGATTGAGACAACGCGTGTGGCGGAGATCGTCGGTCATTTGGTGTGTAATCCACCGAACAACTCATTTCATGTAAGAGTGTTTGTGAAGGTCGATGAAGGTTACTGGGATCGCACTCGAGAAGCGCCGTCGATTCAGTGCTTGTAACTTCCGGCTTTCCTTCATTCCGCTTATTGGTTAGAGTGTTTGCTCTCAGTAGCACGAAGTGACTGTATAGTTGATCAGATCCTCTCCGGATACTGCGTTGACGTGGTGGTAGCGAAACCAGCAGTAGAGCCTCGGCACCTTTTCTTAGACGCCATTGCTTGAAGCTAGTCTTCCAGAATTTGCGACATTGTTTAAAAAAACTTTCGATAACCTTCTTAAATGCTACTGATGGTCACTCAGAGACTGATTCCGAATAATCTGATGGCGTTAAATCGGAACGGTTCTTCTTAAAAATGGCAACTCATGTGAATTTGCTTCTCGAGACTTCCCTGCCAACATAATGAATGAGAATCGACTGGAATCGAACTTGAAATGAATTTGTTAAAAACGAAGTGGATGCACAACCAGTTCAGTCCTACAGCGACAGTCAAAATAAATGATGAAGCCATGGAAGAAGTAAAAAGATTCAAGTACCTCGGACGTCAGCTCAGCTTTACAGAAGGTAGCAGCGCAGATTCAAGTACCTCGGACGCCAGCTCAGCTTTACAGAAGGTAGCAGCGCGGACTACAGCAGGCACACGAAGGTAGCTTGGTCAAAATCTCAACGTTATTACTAGACGAAGATCTCCTGATGAAACTGAAAGCGTCCATTTTCCACTCGACTGTGATACCCGCGCGTTGTACGGCGCGGGATGATGGGCGTCCACGAAGGCAGGCGAAGAGAAATTTGCTGTGATACAAAGAACAATGGAACGTAGAATTTTTGCAAAGAGTTACTTCGTGAACATATTACAAACACAGAGTTGCGAAGATGAAGTGGCCTTGTTGATGTCGTCGAGGAAATGTATAGACGTAAACGAGAATGGGCCGGTCATGTGGCACGTTTGAAAGATAATCGATGGACCTTCCGACTAACGAACTGGATCCCACTGGATAACAAGCGAGCGACGGGAAGGCCTAAATTGAGGTGGGCCGATCCTATGGTGAGTATGCCTGGCCAACAATGGAGACGACGTGCGCAGGACCGGAATGGATGGCCCAAAGTCGACTTGAATGAATGGTGAAGTTCGCGAGGACAACTCGGATACAGGTGATACAGGTGATAATGAGTGGGCTACTATTAAGTAGTGAAATATCTTTTCTCTACAGCCATATTACAGTTAATAGTCTTGTATACCCGCAAATCATTTCAATGGAAGTTAGCGGACACCCTGCGTTTTCGATACCTCATCTAGGCGAACGCTTCTCGTGAATCTTTCTTCCTTGAAAGCCATTTTGGTTTTTGATCTTCATTCTCGTAAATAAAATTGGTACAGTGCAAGCTTAGCTACCAATTAAAACCAAATTTCACGTTAAAGGCTATTTTAATGACGACCTGTGAATGTAGGACCTTCTGGTATTTATGAAAAGGACCATTCAGAACCTCATGAAGAAAGCATTTAGACAGTGATTGTCATTGATCCTACGGATGGTTTTTTCGAGCATTTTCGTATCCTGACCTTTTCCACATAGAGAATAAGTATATATGAAAAAAAGTTCTTCCCTGACTCTCTTAAACCTCTCCTAGGTTTGCTGAGTGTGAGGTATCGAGCACCGAAAGAGCGTCTCCAATGCATTTTGTCAGGTTTTTCTGCTCCTGCGGAAAACTACTTTTTCCGAGGCGTGAAGTTTCCAAACTGTCAGTGCTTCAATGTTCATAGTGTTTTTTCAGCAGCCGAAAACCGAAGTTGTAGAGGTCGATTTTGGAAGTGTAAAGAAAAATGGTACATCACGCATGGACAATGTCGTCATTGGGAAAGGAAAAAAGGTTATTTGCCATTTTTGGGAATGAACTAGACTACTCAGATATTCGCACCAACATTTAGGGAGGCCTTCACTTGCAGAAAGATACACGACTTTGCACGATTCGCTGCAAAGACGGTGAGGAAATTGTAGTGAGAGCAGGCGTTAAAGGAGTTTTGGCTGAGGTGAGCCATTACGAAGTTGGTTTCGTAGTGAAAATATCTGAGTGTTCTACTTGATAATGGGCAAAAGTTTTAAGGTGAACGAGCGGCTGGTAACTACACCTGATCTTGTGAGAACTGCACCGGAAAACCAGGTACTTTTCATACATGTTATGCGCTAAGTGTTCGGGTGTATATGTGTTTAGGTATTTTTGCATGTGTGTATATGCATCTGTGCATGTAGGTGTGTGTATGTATATGTGCATGTGTATATGTATGTGTACGTGTATGTGTTTGTATGTGTGGGTGTATATATATATATATATATATATATATATATATATACATCCACACACGTGTGCATGTGCGTATATGTGTGAGTGTATGCATGGGTGCATGTGTGTAGGTGTGCGTGAATGTAATTGTGTATTGTGTTTGCTTATATATTTATACATGTACAGTTTGTATATGTTTGTGTATGTGTGTAGATGTGTGCATGTGTGTGACCGGAAATTAGAATCTCCTGTTCTTCTAAACTCAGAGAGTCGAAATTAGGAAAGAATACAAGCAGGATCGAAACACTAATGGTAGGTCGTAAAAAGTGACTGAGTTCTTTCCTCTCCCTCTGAAAATCACTGGCATCACCTGTCATCCCGTTGATCATCGACTCCCTCGAGCGGGCGCCAATAACGTTTCCATTCTTCCCTGTCGCTAGCCATGGTGGTATAGTGAAACCTCCTCGCTTCAGGGACACTAGGTCCAATATTCCTTTCGTTCAGAGCTTTCGTGAAGAAGTCTGACCATCTCGTTGGCGGCCGTTCCGAAGTTGGTTTGATGCCGCGAGAGATCCAGTCAGTAACCGCCCTGGCTCAACGATCATCACTATATCGCATAACGTGTGCGGCCCACCTGATCTTCGTTCGTTGACGGAGCTCGGAACTTTGGACTGCGTGCCGCACTCGAGCATATAAAAAAATCCCGGCATGGTTCTGTCCACAGCGCGTTGAAGGAGCTAATTGCATGCTCATCCTGCTTTGGCAGTGTCCAAATCTCCGTGGCGTACGCCAAAGCAGGAAGGACAGTGGTATCGGAAAGGTGAGCGCGGAGCCGAAGTTCCTTGTCTTCTTCATCACTCCCTCGATATTCTTAAATGCTCCCTCCGCGGCGCATTTCCTTCTGCTCAGCTCCGGATCTACACATAACTAGAGCATTGGGAGATATACTTTCCATTTAGCGTGAAGGGAGCACCAGATACCACTCCGTTTCCCATGAACATCGTCTTCGTTTTGTTTAGACTTGAGTCGTTTCTCCACAAGCACTGTCAAACTCAGCCAGCATTCGTTCCACCTGCTCGATGTTCGGTGTTTTAAGCACGATGTCGTCTGCAAAGCATGATTTCACTAGCGACCGTCGACTTTCATTCACAAGTCTTGCTATTCCGAATTCTGCATGATGTTCCCGAGAGCGGCATTGAAAGGTTTGGGCGAAGTGGTATCGTCCTAACGAACACAGAATGGTGAAATCCTAGACGTGATGTTGCCTGTTGGTAGCGTCCGCTCATGAAGCATTCTTATGTATTGAGTAGAAACACTCTGGTCACCCAAGCCTTCAATTACCGCTTCTGTCACGACTGTATCAGGAACCTTCTTCAAATCGTACGCAAAGGGGATTGTAGGGTCGAACGTGCATTTGAACTCGTTAGAGAAAGGAGGGGAGGCCATCCGACTAATCAAGAGATATCTGTGTTAGTCTCTGTGTATATTAAAGGCCCAGTTCACGATAATTTTGAGGTACTTATTTTATACTGAAAAGAGGTGTTGCTGTAGAGTAGTGCATCGGTGGTAAGGAAAGCGACAAAATCTGCCCACTTGGCAAAAAATAATGTTTCCAAAAGTAGTGGCAATATATGTTGTACGAGATTACCATTAGAGAAAGGCACGGAAGGTATTCGGACGAGATTTCAGTTGTTAGAAGTGCGCAAAAAGCTGGCTATATCAATTCAAAACTGTCTAAAACCACCTTCCACTGTCGCCATGGGTCATGCCAAAATGTTTGAACTTCCAATATGGGAATCCCTCGAGATAGTACAGTCTCGTCCACAGGGGTGTGGCATTCACACGATACAATGTCTGGCCCCTTATTAGGCCCTATCCAGGACTTTTTTGACCTGACATCGGCACATGTGATATTAGAAAGGGCCTCGAATTCATCCTATGGGGAAATCTCAGGTACCATTATTTCGTGAACTTTGCCTTTAACCATGAACTGAGAGAAATAGTCTGAGATTGGCACGTAAGAGCCCATTTAAGTTTTAGCGCTACAAGAACTTTTCAAGTTCCTCATAAATCGGATGCGTGGTTTTTTTGTTTTGTTTCATTTTTTTTAGTACTAGTTCATGATTTTTTTTCTTGCGATCGTTTATATTAGTAGTTTTCTCTTTCAGGGTTACATTGCTGTAATCACGTATGGTGCAGGCAAAAGGACACCAGACGAATTCGTCACGGAGTTGTCACCGAAGAAAGTGCTTTTGGAGAACTATGAGGAGAGCACCCCAGAAACAGAACTGAACTAGGAATCTGTACTATGGGTCTACAGAATACTATGTGTAATATGTAGTAATTGTTATTCGTTCTCATGATCTGTTGTTTTAAACATCTAACGAAATAGGCAGGGTATTTATTGTTCACAAGCAATTTCATATTTCTTCAAATTTTGTAGCTTGTTGATTCACAACCTTCTCCTTGATATCACTAAGACTCTCAGTACACAAAGTAAACTTCCATTGGTGTACGCTAATGTTTCCGCTTCTGTTCCTCCTTCATACGATTCCAGTAAGGAATGAGCGAGTTGCTCAAACATTTCCGAAGGTTTTCACTTTCGTTAACCATAACATCGCGTGACATCTGAAGACTTGGTTCTACTGATTAAATCAATTGTTGATGCTGTTTATTGTTGATTTCGCTTACTATCAGTTGTGCTCATGCCATTGACGTTGAAGCTGGGTCAGCTTCGTGAGCCGACAGTAAGGTGGCAACTCATAGCAAGCGATTTTCATACACATTTCTTACTCCATTCACACTTTTTCACGTTTTAAATGAAAAAAAATTCGTGCTCGGATGTGTTGAAGGCGCAGTCCACGATGAAAGTGGCTTGTGAGATTTTCCGCTAGGATAAATCTGCGGCCGATTCGTATACCGTATGTGTGTGAGTGGGTTCTGAAAAAGGCCTAGATAGGGGCGTTATAGAGGCTTAAAGATTGTCCCGTGTGTATGTGTGGACGAGTTTCAACGGCACTGTTCACAAGGGAACCCATGTAGAAGTTCAAACAACTTGCCATGGCCTACAGCGACAATGAATGACAATCCTGGGCTGCTCTTGATGTAGTCAACTGTTTGCTCAATCGCAACAACTGAAATCTCGTCCAAGTACCCCTTCGCTGTTATTCCTGTCATGGTAACCTCGTACAACCCCTATTTTCATTACTTTTGAGTAGCCTTATTTCTCACTCTTTTCGCCGTTTCGCTTTCCGAGCCTTTGTTTCGCTTCCTTCATCCCCGACGCCCTATTCCTAATCAATACTTCCGCTTTTCGATCTAAGAAGAGTACCTCAGAAATGCCGTGAATTCTGCCTATAAATCTCGAATTTCGGCGAATTTCGCTCTCCGACACTGAATTCGCGGGCATATTGCATTTTATGTTCGTTTTTGATGAGTGTTCGCCGAGGATCACTTTAACAACTCCGTTCAATGGAATATGGGAAATAGATTTGAGATCAGTACAAAAAACAAATCTAGCAATAAAGATCTTATTACAAAGGGCCATTTCGACTACAGATTTTCATCTTAGAAGTATGATGTTCACGAAGCGAAGGTATATCTTTCTGCCTCCTCTATGTAAGTGTATCATGTCTTTCCATTACAGGTGACATAAGCCGTTTTCGAAGAGACACTAAAAAGTTTGGGAAACATTGTATCTTTTTTTTCAGACTCACCCTTTTACATCGATTAAGACCGCCTATGAAATGATGTGATTCTGTCGCAAAGTTGTGCTGGAGCTCTGTTGGAGGGGAGTGTTCTGGTTACTCAGTCTGGAGAATATTCACAATTTCAAGGGATTCTCCAAATCTATGAATGTAATGCGCAAAAGCATATCATATACTTTCACTTTAATGGGTGTTGTTAGTGTGANGTCTTTCCATTACAGGTGACATAAGCCGTTTTCGAAGAGACACTAAAAAGTTTGGGAAACATTGTATCTTTTTTTTTCAGACTCACCCTTTTACATCGATTAAGACCGCCTATAAAATGATGTGATTCTGTCGCAAAGTTGTGCTGGAGCTCTGTTGGAGGAAAGTGTTCTGGTTACTCAGTCTGGAGAATCTTCACAATTTCAAGGGATTTTCCAAATCTATGAATGTAATGCGCAAAAGCATATCATATACTTTCACTTTAATGGGTGTTGTTAGTGTGATGTCGCAATTTGCGGTACAAATGGATTCTGTCATTCCCTGCTGTCACGAATCTCTGGCACCTATGCCTTACGGGGCGTTGTCCGGTGTGAAAGCGGTCCGAATAGCGCGTGGTGGAAACTCAAAAATCGTCTGAAGACCACACCCAAAAGTGGCCGTGTTTCAACGGGTTTGCAGAAGCTACATCATTCAAAAAGAAGCGAAAATCCGATCAGCTGACCACTCGAACTGTGCAGTGTTGGAAAACAACTTCGGCAGCAGGCACACTGTAGCCAGCGCTTTACGCAATTGCATATGGCTAAAATCTCGTCCAGACAACCATTTTGTCGTCATAACCTCGTACAACCTCACAAATTGACTGGATTTAAGAAGCCAGATATTTCGAGAGTTCTGCGGATTTCCTCACCTTCTTTGCACTGCACTATTCGGAACCAATTATCCGTTATACATCATGGAAAGGGCGCCATCAAAATTAATGTGAATGGTGCCTTTAATTGCTGTGAACTTGCTCTTGTGGCTATCATTTCACTCCACTCGATGCCATTTGAATTGTCTAGATAATGGCTAATGTGAACAATTCATTGGTTTCACATAATAGGTAGCATGGAGCATCTACATATATTGCTCACAATTCCTCAAGCATCATCACAGTTCGACTGGTTTCTCACGAAGAGAGTACAGAGCATCGCGACAATTTACTGGTAAAGGACTGAGCTAGGGCTTCAACAATGACTGACGAAAGGATTATCAAGTTTTCCAGCCTTTGTAGCTCTTTCCGAATCGGATGCTGGACGATCTTTGAACGACGCCTGGACAGAAAGGGCATCACCGAGCGCTAAGACAATAGTGTAAAAAAAACCACGAACATCAGACAAAGACGGTACACCGGAGATCTCAAGCAAAATTGCACATGTCTTGCCCCTCGATTAGATCACATGAAACTGCTTCAACGAGCGGTCGATGACGGATGGTGACATTGAGATGTTGGTCTTTATTCTAGCCATTTTTTGGCGCTCACGTCACGTCTACAATCTAAAATGAGTTTTCGGATCAATGTCTCGTCGATTGACTGTGCCTCCGGGTCTTGCTGCTCTTCTCCTTCTTGATGTCAGATTTTTTATTTTTTTTTTGACAAAAACTAATTTGCGTTCATAAGCCATTGAGTAAACCAAATTTGCATCTGAAAGTCCTCCAGATTCCGAATGGAGAAGGAGTGGGCAGTTCTAGGGCACGATCGATCATAAATGGCTCGTTCCAAAATTCTAGCGACACGACCTTATCTTGTTGGATTCATTTGCTACGTCGATATTTCCGGAGATAGGTTCAGGCTAAATCTAGCATTTTTCTATTTCTTAGAAAGGAAACCTTCTGTAGAAAGGAGCTAAGAAAAGTAAGTAGCTAGCGCGTGAGAAACTCTCCTCATAAAGGGCATTCAATTACCACTATGTCGCTTGTGGATTCAATAAAATACTGCACTTTCCGAGCGAATCCACGGAGCCTGACATGCCTTTTTCACGAATACTTTCATAGCAGTCCCTTTACTCTAGGATAAATGGAATCGAGCTTCTACCTTACTCTCCTAATCACCATGCTGGCTTATATTAACGGAAAATCAAGTTGTCTCCCAGTTATTTTTCCGTTCCTTGGCTTGTCAGGGCTAATGAAGCACAAGATCAACCATGAAGAAATCTCGTACTAAAGAGCCGAAATCGTGGTAAAACACTATTATAGTCATGGAGTAATCAGAAGAGAATGTCTCCCAAACAGATTCCTTGACGAGCATTTCCACACATTCATGGTACGGTTCGCTTCATGGGGGAACCCAAGGAAAGCAATAGGTGGGATTCAGTATGGCATGGATCATGGAACAGTTCTGTTTGTTTTTGGATTCAATCCGTTCACTTTCTGCTTCGAAACTTTAGAATCACCCCGATTTCTCTTCTTCTGTTAATTTCGGATATTTTGTATACTTATTCAAAATGTAGCATCTTATTTACTCGCCGCAATGTAGGTAAATGGTAAAAATTTCCGGCGGATGCTATTCCGTTAGTACTCGTACTGTTGTAGATTATCTATATTTTGCCCCAGATGAATATCTATGCGGCACATATTGTGGTTTAGAACCTTGTATCTTTTCGCAGAAATCACCCCTGGTTATCTGAACCACTTGCCTTGCCAGATATTATCTTCTTCGATGCGATTTTCTTCTCCTCAGTTGCTATCTTTACCCCGAAACCGTGTACTGGCAGAGAGCAGACTAGAACCGGTCGGGCAATATCTATTGCTGAATACTTTCAAAGTTGTCCTGCCAACGTTTCACTGCTCTCTTGCAGTCTCTTAAAAGGTGGACAATTTCGCCGCTGATGACAAAAAGCTTCTCGAACTGGCAATGGGGGGCCTTAGCAAGACGATGATTATATCGTCCGCCATCAAACATTTTGGGATTTCTCCGACATTACCATGATGAGCAACTTTTGCGCAGGCCATGACTTTCTTTGTCTCCCTATGGTTCTGCCAATTATCAATCAACTTAGCAACAAGAAGATATAGTAGAACTCTCCTTCTTGCGTACCTTCGCTCTGACATTATCCATCCATAGTCACGCTTACCCATAAATCGTCCGCCGCCCAGGCTTCGTCTCGCCTAGCTCAGAGCGAACAACCGAAGCTATTGCTTCCACGGCACCTTTCCGAACTTTCTCAACAGTGAGCAGTTCTCGGTGGCACCCCGTGTAGGCGCTCGACTGTTGATTAAATTGGGAAAGGTATCACCATAAAAAGTTCTTCCCAACGTCAATTGCCCTTCCGGCTGTACTGGGCTTATTCATCATTAATTTTCGAGAAGAACTACGAGAGTTAGAAGTCTAGTTCTAGTTAATTCTAGTTAATTCACCTTGATTTCGCTGGAACATTTAATTCTTTTTATTCTTCTTCTGTTCTTTATCATGCCCCGCCCCATGAATTAATTATTTCTGGAACTCGCCAATAGCGTAGCCAATATCGAAGCGGCGTTCTGCCAAGCTTTTATCAGTCGAAATCCTCGAAGTCACTGGGAACCGAAGCCTCCCATAGGCATAGGCAGTTAGTTAATCTATGTAGTTAAAC